GAGAGCAGTAGAAAACCTGCGACATGCTTATTCTACCGCTATCTACTATGAACTTCAAAGAGGAACCAGCAGTATGGGAGGAGCATGAAAGTGGACAAAGAGTGTGACCATTGAAGCACAGCGCCACAGGGAGGCGTTTAGGCCTCAGGACGACTGCGGGCAGGCCTGGATAATATCCAGCCTTCCACAAGAAGCTGGAAGAGCAGAGCATTCCCTGACTCCTCCAAGGAAAGGAGACTCCCTTTCATAGTCTGCTGAGTAACAGGGGCCTTCCCAGACACTGGCGCGACTGCTTCACCAAGGAGCCCTCAAGTGGCCTTTATGCGGGTGTGACAGAAAGCTCACCTCTTGCCTTCTAGGTCACTTCTCACAATGTCCCTTCAGCACCTGACCCTATACCTGCCAGCTAGTCCTAGGTTATATTAGTAATGCAACAAAGAGTAATATTAAAAGCTAATGATCAATAATGTTTATAATAATGACTGACAATTGCCATGATCATCTCTATATCTAATTTATATTATTATTCTTATTCTAACTATTTTCTTTATTATACTGAAACAGTTTGTGCCTTCAGTCTCTTGCCTCAGCAACTAGGTAATCTTAGGCCCACACTTTGGGAAGCCAAAGCAGGTGGATCACTTGAGACCAGACTGGCCAACATGATGAAACCCTGTCTCTACTGAAAACACAAAAATCAGCTGGGCATGGTGGTGAGTGCCTGCAGTCCCAGCTACTCAGGAAGCTGGGACATAAAAATCCTTTGAGCCTGGGAGGTAGAGGCTGCTGTTAGCCAAGATCATACCACTGCACTGTAGCCGGGGCAACAGAGTGAGACTCTTTCATAAAATAAGAAAAAGAAAGGAAGAGCAGAGGGATAAGAGGGGGCAAATAAAGATGTTATTTCAGAGATCTCAGGATAGAAATTTTCCTTTTCCCACAGAATTCTCCCACTTGCAGAGTTTCCCCACACACTATTGGAAGGTGGAGCTTCCACTCTGCCCATCTGAGCTCTTACCTGCCTTTACGCCTGTAATACATTCCCACCCAGCTGGATTTTATTGCTATATTTACTTCACTCTCCACAGTCCAGGGCTCTTTTTCTCGCTCCAACATGGAGACAGCAGGTCAGCAAGAGATTCCTGCTTATAAAAAGAAAGTACTGGCCGGGCGCAGTGGCTCACGCCTGTAATCCCAGCACTTTGGGAGGCTGAGGCGGGTGGATCAAAAGGTCAGGAGATCGAGACCATGGTGAAACCCCATCTCTACTAAAAATACAAAAAATTAGCCAGGCACGGTGGCGGGCGCCTGTAGTCCCAGCTACTCGGGAGGCTGAGGCAGGAGAATGGCGTGAACCCAGGAAGCGGAGCTTGCAGTGAGCTGAGATCGCGCCACTGCACTCCAGCCTGGGCTGAGCGAGACTCCGTCTCAAAAAAAAAAAAAAAAAAAAAAAAAAAGAAAGTACTGTGACGTGCTGGAGCTTTTCCAGAGTCCCAGCCCTATGTTTCAGTAGGAAAGAAGACACTGCAGATGATCTAGGAAAATATTTCACTGATTTCTCCACTGACTGCCTCCCTCTGAATGCTTGGGGAGCATTGTAATATGTAATATGTGGACATCGAGCTCTCTTCCAAGAACTACTGAATTGACAGCACAGGAGAAGCAAACAGGAAACTGGATATCTTTAAAGTATGCCAGAAGGTTTTGTTTTTGTTTTTGTTTTTGTTTTGTGAGACACAGTCTTGCTCTGTCACTCGGGCTGGAGTGCAGTGGTGTGTTCTCAGCTCACTGGAACCTTGGCCTGCCGGGATCAAGCGATTCTCTTTTGTCAGCCTTTCTAGGAGCTGGGATTACAGGCATGCACTACCACGCCTGGCTAATTTTTGTGTTTTTAGTAGAGATGGGATTTCTCCATGTTGGCCAGGCTGATCTTGAACTCCTGACCTGAAGTGATCCACACGCCTCAGACTCCCAAGGTGCTGAGATGACAGGCGTGAGCCACTATGCCTGGTCTGCCATAAGGTTTTATGCTTACTTTACTCTGGAACCCCTCCTGAGCTATCATGAAGAATGCAAAACATCTAAACAAAGGGGACAGTGAAAGTCCAGAAGCTACATCATGAAGCTTTTCATTTCAAAATCAACATGACTTCCACATTAGTCAAGCAAGGATGCAGCTCCCATGAGGCAACAAGAGAAAATACAAAGATACAAAAGGGCACATCCCCACCTCTGGAGGGAAGTTATCCTCACCCAGGGAGACCAGGTTCCTGTAATTCTCCACCATCACGTCTCTGTATAAAGTCCTCTGAGCAGGGTCCAGACATTTCCACTCCTCCTGAGAGAATTCTATGGCCACATCCCTGAATGTCAGTAGACCCTGAAATGAAAACACATTTTAACCAAATGGCTATGGGAGAAGTTCTTAGCTCTACAGAAAATGAGAAGACGAGAGAGGAGAAAGCATGGATTCAATTGTAGGAATGTTCTGACAAATCCAAGCGAGGGATTTTCCACCACATAATGTCTTCCCACTGGTGTTTGATTACACTTTTTGAAGAGGTCAGGATACCCTCTCAGTATGAATTTCTTATGTTAGAAGTAAATAATTAGCTGGGCATGGTGGCAGGCACCTGTTGTCCCAACTACTTGGAAGGCTGAGGTGGGAGGATGGCTTGACTCTGATGGTGGGGATTTCAGTGAGCTACGATTGCGCCAAGGCGTCCCAGCCTCGGTAACAAAGGAAGACTCCATCTCAAAATAAAATAAAATACATGAAAATAAGATTAATTAAAGTACAAAACTCTATTTTGTATATGTTCAAAAAATAATAAAACCTACACACACTCACAAAAAACTACATGTTAATACAAAGTGTTGTCATTTGTCCCAGATTTTCAAAGTATGCAATATTTTCAAAATACACACATATGTGTATATATGTGTGTGTATGTACATATGTGTGTGCATATGTGTATATATATAAAGGTTTTAAAAATATAAAAAGTAGCAAGTTTTGTTTAACTAAAGAGGACCTCATTTTGGTGGAAAAGGATACTTTGGCAGCTGGAAGTACTGCTCCTATACTTCAGAAAAATTGTAACCAGTTTTACAAAAAACACCTGTTTCACAAGACTCTCCACAGTAACACCACTGTCTCCATCAGCTTAATTTGTTAAGAATGGTTTAATAAATCTCCTGCTGTTATTTAGGTTGACTTCATATTCTTAAAATAATGATGGAATAAAACCCCTGTATCATTCATGTCTGTGTATGAATTTCCCATTCTAAGTACTAAGATTTTTTGAGTCAGAAACAGAGCAACTCATTCAATTACTGAAAAATTTAGTATAAAATCAGGGAGAAAAGATTTTCCCTTATTGGTCTCCTTTTCTAGAATTTACCACGTACTTTGGGCACACGAATATGTGACTTCCATTGGCAGCTGCTCTACTCCTGGTCCACAGAGAGCTGACAGAGCATCCAGATGTGGCCCCTGAACAATCCTTGCTGCCCAACAGCACTGACACCACGGGACCCTCACCCCGTGAGCAAGATGAGAGGGACTGAGGGAAGGCATGGGTGAGTGTGAGCAAACCTGTCAGGGAGGACACTTGAGACTCAGAGAAATTCCCAACACCAAGGCCCAGGGTTTCTGAAAGGAAAGAGACAGAACAATCCACCGAGAATATCATCTCACCTGAGGAACAGCCATCCCTGACCCTTTGCTTTCCTCTTCTGTGTTTTTTCCTCACGTACCAAGAGTCTTTAGAAGTCAATCCTGAATGTTAGAAATATGTTGTTTATTGCTCAGAATCAACACACTTCCTCCCTGTAACACAATGACACATACAAAGGTGCCCTCACCCTGAAAAAATACAGTCACCTCTGCTGCCCACTGCACCAGGGATGATACATTTCTACAAGACTCTCACTTCCCTCCTGGAGAAGCCCACACACACACTGCAGGATTGAGGAGCTGGGCTGGAATGAGATCCCCTTCAGGGCACAGACCCAGCCCTGACCAAACCCCGTGCGGAGGCTGGGTGTGGTAGCTCATGCCTGTCATCCCAGCACTCTGGGAAGCCAAGGTGGGTACATGGCTTGAGCTCAGGAGTTTGAGACCAGCCTGGGCAACATGGGAAACCCCATCTCTACCAAAAATACAAAAATTTGGCCACGTATGGTTGGTGCACGTCTGTGTGTCTCTGGTCCCAGCTACTTAGGAAGCTGAAGTGGGATGATCACTAGAACTCAGGAGTTTGAGACCAGCCTGGCCAACATGGTGAAATCCTGTCTGTACTAAAAACACGAAAATTGGGCTGGGCGTGATGGTTCATGCCTGAAATACTAGCACTCTGGAAGGCTGAGGTGGGAGGATTATTTGAGGTCAGGAGTTCGAGAGCAGCCTGGCCAACATGGTGAAACCCTGTATCTACCAAAAATACAAAAAGTAGCCAGGCTTGGTGGGGTGTCAGTAATCCCAGCTACTCCGGAGGCTGAGGTTGCAGGATCACTTGAACCTGGGAGGTGGAGGTCGCAGTGAGCCGAGATGGCACGACTGGACTCCAGCCAGGGCAACAGAGTGAGACTCAAAAATAAAATAAAATACAAATACAAAAATTAGCCGGGTATGGTGGCACATACCTGTAATCTCAGCTACCTGGGAGGCTGAGGCACAAGAATTGCTTGAATTCAGGAGACAGAGGTTACAGTGAGCCAAGATCATAAGACTGCATTCACATCCTGGAGGACAGAGTGAGACTCTCTGGGAAAAGAAAAAAAAGCGTGTTTCTGATGTGATTGACGCAGAGATAATAAAACCTGAGTAATGTGATAGAGACTGACTGGCAGAGGGAACTTCAGATCGGGGTGGGAGAGCATGGGAGACATTTCTGAGCCAAGACCTGAAGGAGGAGAAGGGGACAGTGCTGTGAGCATTTAGGGACAGAGGGTAAGAGCAGTGAAAACAGCCTGAGACAGGAAGGGTTTTGAGGTTTGGGGAAAGAGAAAAGCAAATGTGACCGGGGCAGAGGAAGACATGAGATGAGGGCAAGCTCCCAGGAGGAGGCTGGACACTGGCAGGGGCCCTGGACACAGGGCTGTGGAGCCACAGTGAGGAGCTGGACTTTTGTCCTGGGGAACACGGGAAACCGGTGGAGGGTTCTCTGCCAGGGACTGACATGACCTGCTTTAGATTTCACTGTGATATCCTCAGAACACGGACATTTTCAATGAGTTACGCTGAGAAGGTCTGAGATGAGTGAGAAGATGTACCTGAATTCTGACATGGTGGCCTGGAAGGGCTAGTGGAAAGGGCTGGCCTTATCAAAATTATACTTGAAACTTAGAGAAGCATCTTTCACATACCTGGGATAAAGAAACTTCTTTTGTCAGGTTCTGATGCCACTGATTCCCAACATTTAATTCTTCCTCACAAGAAAATTACAGTAACATTTATAAAATGCAGAAGTATAAAGACACAGCTAGCGACCTTGAAAACAGAGAGGCCATGTGCAGTGGCTCACACCCGTAATCCCAGCACTTTGGGAGGCCGAGGCGGGCGCATCACCTGAGGTTGGGAGTTCCAGACCAGCCTGACCAACATGGAGAAATCCCATCTCTACTAAAACTACAAAAATTATCTAGAAGTGGTGACGCATGCCTGTAATTCCAGCTACTCAGGAAGGCCAAGGCAGGACAATCACTTGAAACTGGGAGGTAAAGGTTGCAGTGAGTAGGCCAGGCTTGGTGGCTCATGCCTGTAATCCCAGCACTTTGGGAGGCCGATGCCAGCGGATCATCTAAGGTCGGGAGTTCGAGACCAGCCTGACCAATATGGAGAAACCCCATCTGTACTAAAAATACAAAATTAGCCTGGCGTGGTGGTACATGCCTGTAATCCCAGCCACTAGGGAGGCTGAGGCAGGAGAACTGCTTGAACGAGAAAGTCAGAGGTTGCAGTGAGCCGAGATCGCATCATTGCACTCCAGCCTGGGCAACAAGAGGGGACCTCCCATCTCAAAAAAAAAAAAAAAAAAAAAAGGCTTGTGGTGACGTGAGATCGCTCCATTGCACTCCAGCCTGGGCAACAAGAGCGAAAGTGCGTCTCAAAACAAACAAACAAAAAACAGGGAAAGAGGGTCAGCTGTAGAACTAAGACATAAGCAAACTTTTTCAATCAAGAATGCATGGGTGGCCAGGTGCGGTGGCTCACGCCTGTAATCCCAGCAATTTGGGAGGTCGAGGCGGGTGGATCACCTGAGGTCAGAAGTTCAAGACCAGCTTGGCCAACATGGTGAAACCCTGTCTCTACTAAAAATACAAAAATTATCTGGGTTCCATCCTCACATCTTGTTTAACCTCTTGTTGCTCCTTCTCCCCAATCTTTAGATCGTCCTCAATCTCCATCTATTTCTGCCTCTTCTCCCATCTCTGCTCCTCCTCTGCTCTCCCTGTTAAATTCCGTCTTCCCTGTTATACCCCCGTCCCCACTCTCTGGCACCCCAGATCCCCAGGTGTCCTCCCTGCTGTGATTCTCCCTCTGTTCTCTTTGCCACCAGCACCACTGTGCTCTGTCTGCCCTGGCTCCAAATCCCTCCTCCTCTCCCTCACTCTGATGAGCCTCCCTCTTTGCTGCCCCTCTGTACCTTGCTGTCGTCCATCATCTCTCTGTACAGCTAGATTTTCTCTACATTTCTCCGGTTGCTTTTCTCCTCCACTTTCTTTTCTTTTTTTCTTTTTTTCCCCACTTTTGCTATCTCTTGTAGCTTTTCTCTACATTTCTCCTCCTGCTTTCTTATCTTTTTTATTTTCACTTTTGCTGTCTCTTCACAAATCCCTCACCATCCTCTACTTTGCTATCTGTTATGGGTCTTTCTGCTTTTCTCTGTCGCAGGTTTTTTTTTTTTTTTTTTGAGACGGAGTCTCGCTCTGTCGCCCAAGCTGGAGTGCAGTGGCCGGATCTCAGCTCACTGCAAGCTCTGCCTCCCGGGTTTACGCCATTCTCCTGCCTCCGCCTCCCGAGTAGCTGGGACTACAGGCGCCCGCCACCTCGCCCGGCTAGTTTTTTTTGTGTGTATTTTTAGTAGAGACGGGGTTTCACCGGGTTGGCCAGGATGGTCTCGATCTCCTGACCTCGTGATCCGCCCGTCTCGGCCTCCCAAAGTGCTGGGATTACAGGCTTGAGCCACCGCGCCCGGCCGTGAAAGTCTTAAAGTCTTTGATCTTTCTTAAAAGTGCATAGAAGAA